GTTTTGAACGGTCAGTTAACTAAGTTCCCTGTAAAGTCCACTATAGTCCCTGCTCTATATAGTGATTGGGTGTTTTTGGGGGTTAGGGCGGACGTTTGGACACGGAGACGTTATAAGTTACACTGGTAGATGACGAGACATTACAAAAAGGGACATACAAAAAAACAAAGACATAATAAAATAGTAAAGAAGTAAAATGACAAATACAGCCCAATGTCTAAATAAATTACTAGAATGTGTCAGTTTCCTTGTTCAACTTCTATCAGCTGTGTGCTTCCCATGACTTTTTAAACTCCTCCATGATAAGAAAAAATAAACTTAGTCGCCCAAATGTGTGTTTCCTATTTAAGTAGTGGTTGATTGGGCAGAAAAAGCTTAGATTAATTGAGTTACGGATTAGACAGTTTGGGCTGTGAGCCGATCCCACTAAAATTCACCTGAAACCAGGCACTAATTTATGTGCTTTATATTTGCCTGTAGATGCTGTTCACTTTAAATTCTGCTTTGGCCCTTCTGTGTGGACTTTACATGTTCTAGTTTTGTACATATAATTTGTTTCTGGGTAATTTCCTTCAGTAAATCAAAGATTAATGGTGACCCCTAACCGCCCTTAGTTTTTAGACTCTGTGTCCATGTGGAGGTATTTGTTTTGTTTATATCTTTGTAAACTACAAACCTCTCACAAGTTTACATTATCTAGTTAAAGCTGGAAAAAAAGCTCCAGCCACTCAATAGCTTTTCCAGGAAATGTTTCAGTTAGAAAAGCATGTAATGTCATAATATTACAGAAAAAAAAAGAATCGTGTTCTATAAAGCAAACAAAAAGCTCTAAAAAAAAATACTGAGCACTCTCTGTTTAGATTATGCTGATGTATTATGCCGGTGTTGTAAATGAATAACAGCTGATTAAGGAACCCAACTGTAACTTTATAGAATGGTTTGAAACAGAACATCTGGGCACACTTTCTATTTTATGAATTACTGGGAAAGAAAATCTGTATTATTTTTTTTTATGTGCAGAAGTTAAAGGGCGTAGGGACTGTAATATAAACTGTTGACGCCCTGATTTATTATCTGCAGCATAGCCGCCTGATACGCATTCAAGGATAACTGAGCGAACATTGCTCCCCTACTTTGGCTATAAGACAGATAATAACATGAAGTTACTTTTATTTGATCCTAAATCTTAGTTTCCCTCACTGGTGATGCAAGCTTACCCATCAAGGATTTTAAGTCTTACCCTAATTAGAAAGATTCAGATTTCCACCATAAGGGAGCGTGATAGTAAATAATTTCTCCTGTGTTGTGTATTTTTAGGGAAACGTGTGTGTCTTGGGGAGCAGCTGGCCAGAATGGAGTTATTCCTCTTCTTTACCTCCCTCCTCCAGAGGTTTACATTCTCTCCTCCTGCTGGAGAGCAGCCCAACTTGGAGTTCCAACTTGGATTTATACTTGGTCCCAAGCCTTATAGTCTCTGTGCAATTCCCCGTTAAACTAAGCAGCTTCAGTGTTCATCTATAAAATATACAGTGAAATAAATGTGAACCGTGAGCCTGCCGACAATCCTCTAAAGTTTCATATGAAACTACATTGTTTTGTGTTTTTTAATCATTAAAGGTTAGGTTTTAAAAACGTGATTTTAATGGCTTTATGAATAAATTGCAATACAATGTAATTATCTAAAAATTGTGTTTTATGACAAGGGTTCAAAACAAGCAGCAATAAAAACTCAACAACATCTAACCAGCCTCTGAGAGAGTCTAACAAATGCTTCAATAGATAGGAAGTTAGCTAGCAGAGAACCAACTGGGTGAGAGGTGAATGGAAACAAACAGACTCCAGCCAGTTATGCAACACATTCCATCTCAGAACCCTTTGACACCACATGCTAATTCAACATAGGGGTTGGGTGTGTTCCAGCTGGTTGCAGGGGGAACGTAGGCGGTATGCTGTGTTGTATGAAACACTTTTTTTTTCAGATAATTTTTGGAGGTTTTACAGAAAAGCTGGAAAGTGGACGTTTTGATAAAGCTGTGGAAGTTCATTCCCTGATTCTCAGCTGTCTGGATTCCTCAAAACAAAAACAAAAAAACAAAAAATAAACAAGAATCAGTCTAAACATGCCAAGAAATGAGAGCAGAAGGTGGAGGAGAGCTTTCATAGGGACTGGTTCTTAGTCTTGTATGAGTTGTTGCTGTTCGTTTTACAAGTTTTTGGGATGACTTATTAAGCTTGCTTTGATTTATCTTTAGTTTAGGAACAAGTCTTCAGCTGTTCAAACTCCCCCTGCTGGTAGGTCTCACTCCTGCAAATTTCCCCCTTCAGCTTCTACAATAGTTTCTGGTTGTGCTTGTGTGTGTTTAAAAAAACCCAAAAGAAAATAATAAATAACGTAATGCTGTAAATTGTGCAATCTCTTTCTTTCTTCATTGGTATATCAACCGGAGCTCCTAAATGGTTTGGACCTTTCATATATATGTAAATATGAAAGGTCATATATATATATATATATATATATATATATATATATATATANGTCAAATTATATTCTGGCAGGGCTTCCCTCTGTCACTGGTCTGCTTCATACCCTTTATGGACAGGAACTCTAGGCGTAGCCAAGGGCCAGTTGGGTCCAGTTTGTGAACCAGCAGATATTGTCTCTGCTTTTTGAAGATGAGTGAGGGGCGAATGGAGCAGGAGACTGAAAGCTTCCATCATGAGTCTATTATAGTCGTCTATTTTGAAGATAGAGCTGAGCAAAAGGGCAAAGCTCTCAATTCTTACCCTCACCAATGTTCATCAAATTTAGGTTTTGACTGAAAGACAAATATCTATAATATAAGTGACTGCAATGAGCTTCCTTCACAGGGTGGTCAGGCATTCCCTTAGAGACAGGCTGAGGAGCTCCGCCACCAAGAAGGGACCCAGAGCAGAGCCACTTTCCTCCCAATTGAGAAGAGTCTTGGACATCTGCTTCCAATACTCATTGGGAGCCTCCTTCAGGAGGTGTTCCAAGAACTTCCCACCAGGAGGAGGCCCAGGGACAGCCCAACTTTTTACGCTTCCCTTAAATGAGCTGGAAAGGGTCTATAGGAGGGGGAAGTTTGAACATAAGATCTATATCTAGCCGTTCAGCAAAGATTCTGCTACATGGCTTTACATCTTATTTTAAGATGTGACCAATTAGATGAGCCCTTGAATGATATATTACCTACTGTCAATTAAATTGAAAAAAAAAAAGTTAACAAGTCAAGAAAAAAAGGTAAAAAGCTAATTGAAAAGTTAACAATTATATTTAGGTTTAACTAAAAAATGTAAGTGCCAGTATCAGCATTAATGCCTCTAAGGTTATGTTGTAGCAAATAAAATGTGTTTCTTTCACTCTAAGAATGTTTTTCATTATTTTTTTATAGAAGCACTTTTGTTATTTTTCTTTACATATTCGGGCAACTTGGTGTTTCTTGTTATTACATTGACATTAATTTTTGTCATCCAAAATATTCATATTTTTTGAATGTTACAAAGGTGATAAGGTCTTATCCTGATTCCAATAACACTATTGGCTTGAAATTTTGATTTTTAAGGTATTTCGCTGAGCGCCCTATAAAGGGTTAAACAAGATACTAACTAAATCATTTTTTAAGGTTGTTGTTTACTTTTTCACGCTTGTTTTTTTGTCTTCCATGGTCATCCTGTTTCATGTGGGCTGATTTCAACTGTGGACGCTGACATTAGCATTGCAAACTTCAATACTTGCTTCACAATGTGTCCTGTTTAAATCTGGAAAATTTCAGAAAAAAGACAATTTGAGTTTAATGAAATCTTTTAAATTTTTCTTTTTAAAAAAAAATATGAAAACTTTCCTCTAATTATGGTAAAATTGTAAATGGCCTGTACTTATATAGCGCCTTTTTTTCAAGTCAGGAGACTTGACCAAGGCGCTTTACACTACATTCATTCACCCATTCATGCACACACTCACACACTGATGGTGGCAAGCTACATTCTAGCCACAGCTGCCCTGGAACCCCTGGGCCACCGGGCCTTTCTGACCACCATCAGCAGA